CCCCCCGGCCGCCGGCCCCATCCATCCCCCCCCGGATCCGACCGCAGCCCCAGCGACGGCCCGGCTCACTTCCGCGTTGTGCATCGCTCAGCGCCTTCCGGCCCGCCCCGCCCCGTCCCGCTCCGCTCCGCCCGGGCCCGCCGGCCGCCGCGCCAACGTTCCGGGCCTCACGGCGGCCGGGGGCGAGCAAAACCCCACGTCCAACCCAAACGGCTGTGAAACCCCCTTGGGGCTAAGAGACCCCGGCCCTAGCTAGGGGGACGTGGCGGGGGGGGTTAGTGCCTCGTGTTGGTTGCCCATAACGAGAGCCAGGTGCGGGCCTGTGCAAATGGCGGCCTCGTGTCTCCACACCCGTTCCTGGGCTCCCTTGCTGGCGGCTGGGCTGGAGCCTTGCCTTTCCCTGGCGGGGAAACGTGGCTAAATGGCTTCCTACAAAGAAGCCCTAACATTTCCATAGCTTTTTCAGTTAACTTGCTCCTTGTCACTGCTGTGAAGCACCCTCGAAAGGCACGAGTTTGGTTCAAAGCAAAATACCGTAGTATGACCATTTTGGTTTGGCAAGGCCTCTGCTTGTGCCTTCTCAACAAGATCGTAAATTCATCAAACATTTAATTAAGTTTTGTGATTGCTCATGGCTTCTTGCTCATCAGTCCCAAGTACCACTCTCTGACAGGCTTAATCCTTGACAAACACCAGTCCTTGGTATGTAAAGTTACAGAGAGATAATCATTAAGCAATAAGAAGTTCTTCTCTATATCAATGGCTTCTCTTTTCCCATTTATTTTTTGTCTTCTGAATCCCCCCACACCTTCCCCCCAATTTCCTTTGCTTCCAGTGAATTTTCTGTTTTCCAAAAAACCTCACGCAACTTTTTCCCCTCCAACTATTCAAAAATCGGGACATTCCATGAAGAAGATCAAGCCGTTTAAAACAACAATACTGGGTTTCACTTTCTGAAAGAGGCTTTTTTGTAAGGCGGACTGAAATTATTTTTCCCCTGCTGCTCTGTGCGGTCAGCCTGGGTCCACCCTGCGCGGGGCAGACGTGACACGAGTTGGGGTTTGGGCTCCCTCCTGCGCACCCCACACCAGGTCTGCACCTCGCGCCGGCACCCCAAGGGACGTCCAACATGTCCCTTGTGAAAATGGCAGCGGCCACGGCACGGCACGGCCAGGGCGGCTGCTGCATGCTGGTCGTCAGGAGACTCTCTAGCTTAAACTCTCACCCCCCACCCCCCAAAACAACTAGTATTTACACATATGGTAGGAACAGTGACTATAATCACAACCACATTTTCTGGAAATGTTACCTCGTTTTATCTAACTGCCTGGGCGAACTTGTACAGTGAGAAATAAAAAAAAGTATTCCTTTGCTATTATAAGACATTTGGGGAGTTTTCTTGAGCAGCCCTTCTGCCTCAGTGGGAGAGACCTGAAACTTGGAATTTAGCAAGGAAATAAGCTCCAGTCATATGAGGACTAACGCACACGTTTCATTTTTCGTGGTCTGGTGAAATCTGTTTTCATTTTGGCTGCCTGACAGAGGCTTTAAAAATATATGTATATACTTCATTTCTTCATGCTAATTTTTAATCTACTGTAACAATTTTTTATTCTATGAGAACAGTTTCAGCTAATGACCTTCCAGCCTTCTCTTGGCACTGCTGTCATGGCTGTAGGTCGAGAGGAATTTCTCCTGCCGTCAGCGGTCTCCCCATGATCTCTTAGCTCTGTGTGCGTGCGCAGGGAAAACCGGTTGGAATATCTCACACATTGGGATAGTGAACATGAACCCAATGGGAAGCCTAATGTGCTGGAAGTTGGTACACACCAGCAATTAACATCTTTTGCTTCCTGATTTTTGACAGCTTAAAAAGGTTTGAATGTTGGGCAGGCTTGGAATTTAAGCAGTGGCTATAAGAAGTATTGTGGAGTTGTACACAGAGGGATAAAACTGCAAGGAAGGGGTCCAGACCTAACTTGGTGAATAACCACTTCAAAGTGGATATTAGGAATAAGCAAAGGGAGTAGAGGGAATGGAAAAAAGGATTAATCAAAGACAACTAAGTCTTAGAAGTTAGGAAGTGTAGGCATAAAGGGAAATGTGCCAGAAGTAAAGCCAAGTTAGACCTTGCAAAGGAAATTAAAACAAATAGCAAAATGTTCTTCAGGTGTACATACCAGAGGATGAAGGCGAGAAGAGGTAGGGGTGATGAAAGGGGAAAGGCAGGACACAAATGAATGCATAATATATAGTGGAAATGTACATAGAGGAAATAAAGGCATGGAGATAGAAATTATCTCATCCAAGTGGAACAAATCATAAAGATCATAATGCGATGATCATTTGGACCAGATGATTGTTATAGGTCCCTTTCAACTGAAATATTCTAATTTCTGACCCAGACATCTAACAGCACTGGCCTATCAAGATTATATCTGGCTGTGTAACAGCATTACTGCAGGAGCAACACAACACAATTTGAGAGCAGGAAAAATTGTTCCAGCAGTTAAAAAGAGGAAAAATAATTAAAGTCTGATCCAAATAAAATATAAGACTTTTGGATAAATTTAGCAGGAAAGAATAATATCAGACATGATGGCAGATGGAAACAGGCTGAAATACAACATGCATTTACTAAAGGTGGATAGTGCTACGTAAGGTGACTAGTTTTTTGTGACTTTTTAAGGTAACTAGTTTTCTAAACAGAGAAAAGCTAGTAGATTATTTTGTCTGGTAATGAATAAATGTAGGCTGGAAATTAGAAGAAAATGTTTAACCATTAGAGGAATGAGTGTCCTTCCTACAAGCATGGCAAGGGCAAACAAACGCATTATAAGGTAGCACTCAATCCATTCATAAAAAGGATATTTTCCCTTTCTAAGACAGCACATATCCCTAAATATATCTTTTCTAAGCATATACTGTTAATATTTCAGGCTGTTGCTTCTTGACGCTAAAGCTCACTGCCATAGATTTGGAGCCTGTGTCTTCCTTTGCCCTTTTATCTGCTTTTTTAGCCCCTGTTCTTTTCTGCTGTTCTTTATGAGCAATGAGAGAGCAATGCTGCCTGCACTTGCGCATTCCTGCACCCACTGCCTCCCACAGCCAGGGCCTGATCCAAAATGGTGGGAACTTTCCAGTTACTACCATGGCATTTGGATCAGGCGTGTGGAGGAAGACAACAATACGCCATATTTCAGAAGAACATTCTATTTTGAGGTGAATAGCTAAGCATTTTTTGTTTAAACGGGAAGATAATCAGAGCCATATTTCAAAAGCCAGCTTTTAAACTATGCTTGCAAACTCCTTTCTCACAGTCCAGTCCTTGTATCGCCACTGTTTAGCTACCCAGGCTAAGTCAAGGGCAAACAGACCTTATGCTTCGGTGATCAGATGAAGGTCAATCTCCACGACATTTTATCTTGTGTAATTGAGTAGATACACGGAGGAGGTGAAATATTGCAGTCTTTTGAAGCCTAAACAATCGGCTTGTGCCAAAGGTGGGATTAATGGACCATTAAGTGCATTTTGCCCTGGAAAATCCCACCATCCTTTTGCAGCTGGGACACTTGGCTGCCAGAAATGTTCTTCTGCAGGAAAGTTTCTAAAGAAAAAGACAGCCAAGTGGCTAGGTTAGCTCTGTCATTGCTAGAGGTGCATTTTCTGCATGGGAATTGAGGGGCTTATGGAAAAATAGACCATGTTCTTGCCTTTACCCTGTAGCAGATTTTCAGGCTTCAGGGCTGTCAAACTCGCAGTTTTCAGTGTGTTAATCACTGAACCAGAGTTTGTTTGGCCACCGAACTGGGAGTTTCCCGAGTTTTGGCAGTGGGTGTGATTCTGACAGCCTCTCTGTAGGTGGTGCTGCAAGGCAGTGAGATGTGATTAAGACTCGACTGTGCTATTTTTGAAAGTCAGTCCCTTGGTTTCTTAACCAGCTCTTAGTATTCCAACTTTCTTAAAAGAAAATTAGACATAGTTGCCCATAATTTCTTTATTTCGATGATCTACAATCTGAATGCACCCATTGGAAATATAAACAGAGGAGAACTGTTATTTTCCCTGGGTTCAAACTGTTGGCATTATGTACTCTTCCTGGAAAACTGCAGTTGAACAAACTGTGTTTTCATATTGATCTAACTTTACCAGAATTTTAGCAGCAGATTGTAGAATCTAATGTATTAGAGAAGAACATCTGAAAACGAATAATAAGTTGGTCATGCAGAGACCCTAAGTAATGGATGTTTAAAGAGAAAAAAAATTCACATCTCTAAGTGGGCTCTGTCCTCTTTTGCTCTACACTCAAATGTTGCCTTGAGTTCAGCTGCTCTTCTGCACACTGAAAAATGGTAGAATAGATCCTGCAAATGTGTCTGTACTCCTCCCCTGCTACTGAAATGCAATCAATCCAGGTGGAATCAAGTCTTCAATCTGGGTAGGCAGTGAAGACTGCTGTGTCTGCTTGGAGGTCTGGGAGGAATTTTTTAATCAAAATTCAGCTGCAAAAATTTGATGTTTACAGGCAGACATACTTCACATACATAATTAGACAGGCAACCTTGTTCAAAGGCAGATATGAGAGTTACAGTCTGTGAGCTCGTACCCTAGTCTTGTGACCAGCTAATAATGCCTGTGGTACTTAAACAATGGAACAACTTTGTCATCTAATATTGTGCAAAATTCCTTTCTTCAGCTGGGCACTATATTAAATCTTCTGTGTCACCATGGTGTTAGGTCACCTCTGCAGCAAAGATAAAAGATTGCTCATTGCAGGCATTTATATCTCTGCTTATTCTAAGTACCTCTCCAGTAGTCATGTGAAGATATTCTGTATTTAAATTGATGTATCAAATGTAAAAAATT